GTTCAAACCCGCCAGCCTTCTGGTTAGCAGTCAAGTGCCTTAGGTACTATGCTACCAGAGCTCCCAACACCTGTTCGTTAGTTTAATTATTTTTAAAAAGTAAGTTGTTTTATCTTAGTGCCTGTCTGGTTTTGCTAAAGTTGTGAACTTGAATATTAAAAATGAACTCAAAACAGATTTGAAAGTTAAGCTAAGGTTTAGAGTGCATTCCTATTTGTCAAAAGCAAGAGACTTCCTTGTTATTTTTAGAGAATTCAGAAATATGAATGCATTTGATTTTCTGAAGCATATACAAAATAAAGGAAAAACAAACACTTTTCAGTCCTTTTTATTTCTCTCTCTAATATCAACTAAAAAATAAAACAAAAAAATCTAGACTGGACACATATACTCCAGAAAGTTTTAGTATCAATGATATTCTGAGAGGAAAGAGTTAGCTGATTATCACAAAGTTGTATATCTCTGAAAAATCTCAACAGTGCCTATATTAAAATCACTAAACCACACTGAAAAAACTACCTCTGAGTTACCATTAAAATCTGAAAATTGTATTTATATAAAAGACAAATAGTTTGTCCTTTACAAATTTTACAAAAAATAAAACACTCTCAGTCACATCACTTAAATTTCATTAAGGCAGCTTTAACTGAAAAATTTATTTAGTTGAATCTAATTAAAGAGAAAACTATTTGCACAATGGAAATTAGAGGCAAAAACATAACACTCTATTTAGGTTTATAAATACTCGAATTAGAGCCTTATAAAAAAACTCTATTAAATAGACTTTTGTTTAGTAAATTTAACACAATGAATAAAATTCTACGTAATAAATTTTACCTTGCATCCCTTTCATATAATGTTTTGGGTAAAATGTCTCTGTCCACATAAACTGTATTGGGGTAATACCATACTGTAAATCGAGTATCTTGAAGTCCACACAGGATATTGCATGTATCACACCATGCCAATGTATGCACCATTGTTCCTTAATTTAAAAAGAATGTTAACATGCTATTAGTTCCAATTTATAAGCATAAAAAATATTGTTTTTAAATCAGCTAGCATAGAAGGCCAATCTAATATCTAATTATGAACCTATTTTATGATGGCAAAATGTACAGAACATATGCAAAAATTCATTTAAGAATTTAGAAAATATTTGAATGCACTACTTAGAGTCCTTATATTTTTATTTTATAGGTCTTATTTTCATGCCAATTTAGCTGCAGCAACTAAAAACTTGGTATTAAAATGGAATCAAGTAGCTAAGAAACATTATGAAAGCAAAACATTCAAAGTCATTCAAGCAAGCAAACTATTTAATCTAATTTGTGATACAGAAAGACAACTGAAGAAAACAGAAATCAAAATTTAAAATGTATTAAGCATGTTTTTACCAAGTTTGATAATTTGTTCTTCCTTCCCAAACCGTTTAACTGACGTAATATAGAGATCTCTATTTTTGTCAATGAAAGCAATTTTTCTATCATTGGTAAGTCCTTTTTGATCCAGAGCAATTTCCAAGATTTCATTCTAAAATTTAAAAAAATAAAATACTAGATGAGTTTTAGTGCTTGACATCAGTTGATTTTAATTATTTAACTCAAACATTTCTTTTTTAAAGTATCAATTAAATTTCACTCCCTTACTTAAAATGATAAAATGTCCCTGTTAAATAATTAAAACTGACCGCTAATATGCTAAGAGTTTAAAAGTTGTATTAGGGACTTCTGGTAAGATGGAGGAATAGGGAGACAAGCTACACAGACCCCTTCAACAAAGAAAAGAGAAACCAATTGACAGAGATACAGAAGATAATCCTAGAGCCCCGAGCTTTGAAAGGAAGTATACAGATGTGGATTAGGCACTAAGTTTGGAAAAACCTGAATGAAAACACGACCTAAGAATAAGCTTTGTTTGCCAAAGACAGTAGGGACATACGGGAGGCTGACAAAGGGAAAGGAGACAGGTGGTGAGTGCATAAGTGCTGCCAACTAGCAAACACAGAAGCATAGTACCCTGCTTACTTAGATAAAATCCAAAGAAAACAAAAAACATGGAAAAAACGTGGGCAAGTCACTGCAACATACAATCACCAATTAAATATAAACACAAAAACATCGTAATGCTTTGGAGACAACAGAGCATCACCATGAACACAAAGAAGGAAGATAAAGCAGGAGAAACAAGGGACCAGGATTCAGACCCAAAACACATTCTTGAGGAAGATGAAGCACTGGAACTCCCTGATAAGGAATTCAAAATAATTATATTTAGGTATCTTCAAAGAATTAAGAGGCAGATCAAGGAAAACACTGACAAAATCGAGGAAAACACAGAGAAAACCCTACAACAATTTTGAAAGACAATGTTGTTGTTGTTATTTGCCGTCGAGTCGGCCCCGACTCATAGCGACCCCTCCTTGGGTTTCCGAGGCAGTATCACTACTGAAGTAGGATTGCCCAACCTTCCTTCCGAGGAGTGGCTGGTGGATTTGAACCACCAGCCTTCTGGTTAGCAGTCAAGTGCCTTAGCCACTATGCTACCAGAGCTCCTAAAAAAGACAATACAAGAACAAAATAATAAAATAAATGAAAAATTAGAAATGATACAAAATCTACCCATAGAAATTCAGAAGATTAATATTAAATTTTCAGAAATACATAAGGCATTGAATGGGCAAAGGAGCAGAATTGAATCAATGGAAGACACAATTAGTGAGATTAAAGGCAAGTATCTCAATACTTATTTAGAAAGTAATCAATCAGAAAAAAGATCAAAACAAAATAAAGAAAGCCTAAGGTTCATGTGGTACACCATCAAAAGGAATAACCTACGTGTAACTGGAATTCCAAAACAGGAATAAACACAAATAAAACCACAGAAAAAATAGTCAAAGATTTGGTGGAAGAGAATTTTCCTGGTATGATGAAAAATGAGAATACATCCATCCAACTATCCATTGAGGGAGTCCAATGAACCTCAACAGATAGACAGATAGACAGATAAACAGGACAGACCTCAAAAGAAAATCACCAAGACACATCATCATCAAACTCACCAAAACCAAAGACAAAGAAAGAATCCTGAAAGCAACATGGGAAAAACAAAAGGTTACCTACAAGGGGGAACCAATAAGACTAAGCTCAGATTTCTCGGCAGAAACCATGCAGGTGAGAAGAAAATGGGATGGTATATGTAAAACCCTGAAAGAGAAAAATTTCCAACCAAGAATTATGTACCCAGCAGAACTGTCCCTCAAATATGATGGTGACATTAGGACATTTCCAGATAAGCAGAAATTAAAGAAATTGGTTAAAACTAGACCAACCTTACAAGAGATGCTAAAGGGAGTCCTTTGTACAGAGAAGCAACAACAGCAAACAACAACTGACCATTAATACACATGGTGACATAACCAGAAACCAACCCAGCTATGGAAGTATACAAAGTAAAGAAGCATACAAGATTGTAAACAGGGAACCAGAGATGTCAATTGACAAAGGTGGACAACTATAAAGCAAAAGGAGGGAAAAAATTGTGTAGTTACAGAACTTCTAAATGTTAGGGAAGTCAAGAGAACTACAAGATAGAATGGACTGTTCTAAACTTGGGAAGAAAACTATAAATCACAGGGTAACCTCAAAGAAAAATGATAAACTTCACATCAAAATAAAAAAAAAGACCAGCACATTTATTTAGCAAATACTAAAACAACAGCAATAAAGGAAGTGATAACACAATTCAGAAACAAAATGAGCTTAGCACAGAAAATTATATGGAAGAAAGAAATCTACAATACGAAAAACGACAGCAACAACTTCATATTTGTTGATAATTACATATCTGGCAAGGGACTTATCTCTAAGATTTGTGGAAGATTCCAATGCCTCAACACCAAAGGAATTAACAATCCAATTGAAAGATGGGCAGAGGACATGAATAGACACTTCACCAAGGAGGATATTCAGGTGGCCAGCAAATACATGAAGAGATGCTCATGATCATTGGCCATCAGAGAGATGCAAATTGTAACAATCATGAGATACCATCTCACCCCAGCACTGATGGCAAGGTTCAATGAGACAGAAAATAATGAATGCTGGCAGGGATGTGGAGAGATTGGGACTCTCATACACTGCTAGTGGGATTGTGAAGTGATACAACCACTGTGGAAAGCAGTATGGTGATTTCTTAGAAAGCTGAAATTGGAGATACCATTTGACCCAGCAATCCCATTATTAGGTATATTCTAGAGAGATGAGAGCCAGGACAGGAACAGATATACGCACACCCATGTTCATCACAGCACTATTTACAATAGCAAAAAGATGGAAACAACCTACGTGCCCATCAATGGAAAAGTGGATGACCAAACTATAGGACATACACACAATGGAATGCTATGCAGCACTAAAGAATAATGTAGAGTCTGCAAAACAGTGCATAACATGGATGAACTTGGAGGACATTATGCTGAGTGAAATAAGTCAATCAAAGAAGGACAAATATAGTATTAGTTTGTTGTTATGGAGGGTCAAAGAAAGGTTTATATATGGAGGGAAACTTTCTTTGTTGGTTGCCAGGGGTGAGAGGGGTGGGGAAGGGAACACTGCAAAAAAAAAGCATTGACCCATGTCAGTTTAGTTTTGTGTATTTTACTGTACATGAATTATATTTCAATAAAATGCATTAAAAAAAAGTTGTATTAGGAGTTCCAGCAAGATGGCAGAATAGGAAGACAAGCTACACAGACTCTCCGCAACAAAGAAATGAGAAACCAATTGAAACAGATATAGAAGATAATCCTAGAAATCTAAACTTTGATTGGAAAGATGGAGAAGTACCAACTACTAGAAGAACCTGAATGGAAAGAGTGGATAAGGAGAAAAATGAAGCTGCTAACTGCTGGCTGTCCTGAGGGTGGAACCATTCTGAACTTCTGCCAAGCAGCATTCTGATCTGGCAGCAACTTAAAAATCAGCTCTGCTTGACAAGGACTGCGTAGGCAAGGATTGCACTGATGGCTGACAACTAGAAAGGAAACAGCAAAGAAAGAAACAGAGATAGGGACTGCTGGCTGTCCTGAGGGCACAACCATCTTGAATTTTTGCAAGTGGTGTGACCATTTTGAGTATATGGAAATGGAATTTTGATCTGAGCAGCAAGCTAAGAATAAGCTCCAGTTGCCAAGGGCAGCACACTGGAGGCTGATAACTAGAAAGGTGCAATATTCCATTGTTACTCTTATGCCCTACAGTGTCTGGGTGAACAGATGTATGACCATCCCCCACCTCCACCCACCTTACTGAGAAACAGGAATTCCATCCCAGTCTGTACCCTGACAGCCTCAGTGCCCTGCCATGACACCCATAGTTTTGTTTTTGTTTCTTTGTCTTAAAATTCTTCTTCTTTCTTTCTATTTCTTTCTCTTTCTCATCCCTGGTTCTTCTTTTTTATTTCTCTCTCTCTCTCTCTCCTCTTTTCCTGGTTCTCTTTCTTTCTTTCTTTTCTCCATTAGGTGCTTCCTATCCCATGTTTTTCCATTTGCAGTTTTCCCATTTTTCTTTTACTCTTACTCTTTTCTCTCCTTCCCTCCTCCCCAGATATTGTGGGTTGTTTGTTTTCTCTCTCATTATCTTTCTTTAATCTTACATATATACTTATGTTGGGCAATCTACTTCCGTAGTGATACTGCCTCGGAAACCCAAGGAGGGGTCACTACAAGTCGGGTCCAACTCAACGGCACATAACAACAACAACATATATATACAAACATATATATATATATATATATATATATATATATTCTTTTTTTCTTCTTCTCATTTATTGAATTTCCTCTTTCTTGTAATTATCTTTTGATTATGTGGTTTGTGTTTTTTGTTCTCTGTTTTTTTTTTTTTTTTTTTGGGTGCGTGGCTATTTTATTTTTTGTCTGAGTGGGAGACACCAACGGTTACCACACAACCCAACCATACCTGTACCTCCTGTAGCTCCACCAGGGTGAGGGTCACCACTTGCTTCTGTACCAACTTACCAAAGACAGACAGCACACAACACCAGCTCAACTTACCCTAAACCGCTCTTCACAAACAGCTAACAGGGATGTATTCACACATTCTCAATCTCTATCACACTTACCAGGAGACAGGTGGTGAGTGCCTAAGTGCTACCAAATAGAGAAGAGAGGAGCACAAAACTCTGCTCACATAGATATATCAAAACAAAATAATAAAAATAAATCTTGGATGAATTATACCAACATACAACAGAAAATTAAACACAAATACAACATCTTCACAACGTCTCAGAGAAAACTAACCATCCCACTCCACACAAAGAAAGAAGATAAAATAGTACAAACAAGGGACCAGGATACAACAGACCCAGAAAACATCCCTGAGAAAGAAGGTGCATTGGAACTCCCTGGTAAGAATTCAAAATTACATTTAAGTGTCTGCAATGGATTGAGAGATAGATCAAGGAAAACACTTAAAAGATCAAGGAAAACACTGACAATATTAATGAAA